GTGCATAGTTAGTGCGAGTCAGTTCAGGCCAAATCGAGGCTTTTAGGTTGAATGGACACAAAAACACGTTTTAGCAGGTGGACTTCGCCTTTGTATTTCGACTTAGCCTACGGTTACAGTAACGAGCTCAGCGCCTGACTCATACATAAATAACTACGACCGATTCATAGACCACGAAGTTACCGCAATCAGGGTTGTTACTGACAGACATAAAGTTGCCTTCTAAATTTGCATACCATTCACCGCAAACTACCGTTTTTGGTTCCACCACTGTTCCACAGATTGCTTGCTTTTTTGAAATTGTTAATGATTACGAGCTCTAGTTCTACCCTTATAATGCTCCATGTACGCCTTCACCAATCCCACCTACCGTCTGGTACTGGTCGGGACAACACCACAGCAACATCCCATTTTGTTGTTTAATCACCTTTCTCCACATATAACTTCAAATGAATGCATTTCCAATACATTCTTATTGTATTTTAAGAAGTCCCTTTTCAGCAGGAGACTGCTTCGTTGGCCAGGACGATCCTGACTTCTGAATTATGTAGGGTAACCGATAGCTCAGCACTGTAAAGTGGCTGCATTAGTAAACGGTGCTAACATTCGATAAATTGCGAACTTCTACGTGGCAAGAGACTTTAATTTCAAATATAAGAAAATCGCTTAGAAATTTTCATGCATTGAAGGCATTACTTACAGCTGGCAATGAAGCCGTGGACGAAATGAGTGATAGAAATAGCCTTCAAGTTGGTATTTAACTAGAAATGCTTCCATAGTCGATCTGGAGCACCAAAACCGAAATGTGTCGTGGCCATAAAATTCCAGTTTGGTGAGATGACTTTGCAGTTTGTAGAAAGTGGCAAAGATCATGCCTTTTTGTGTGCGCGCACTACAAAAATGGGGTAGATGTACATCAGTCTACTCGCGGACTATCCCCAATTGTGTTCTGTACTCTCATAATTTGAACCCACCAAGCTATAATGCACTAGCAGAGGAATGAATCCAGTCGCCGGAAGGACTTGCTTCAAGTCTAGTTGGGAAAAGCCACCAAAGACCATGGCTAACTTGGTTCTATATCCGCTTCAAGAAAAGTCATAATACTACTAATCTCAGTGGTGATTATAGGCCCTGGAGACCCAAAGCTTGGTTAGCGCGTGGAGCATAGACAATCAGGCCGACATAAATGATGTCCTGAGTTACTTTTTTTCCTGTCATCCAAAGTCGTAGCTCCACATGCATTAAGAATTGTTGACAATAAATCCAACCTGAGTGAACCGGCGACCAATTGTACAACGGTGTTGCTTGTGAATCTAGAGCCAGGTCTTAAAGCCTCGTTAAATAGGGGAAGCTTTTAGAAACAAAGAGGTGTACCTAAGAACCACTTGGCGCCAACCCATGAGGAAATATTGCCTCTATCTTCAAATTGCCGCATGCTTCAGAGGTCATTTCAGGGTTGACTGGTCAAAACTGTCTGTAGCGAGCAGAGATTAGCTGCAAGCATCGATATTAAACTTACAGCATGAAATCGCATAAATATTTATTCCTGCTGATTGCATTCTGTGGATCTTTATTTACCATCAGCTTTCTGCTGTATGCACAACGGAATAACGCCAGCTACAGGTACGCAGTATTCCTCCTCAATCGGAATATTATCATACTCCGTGCGTTCTTCAACCTGCCAACTTCAAATGCTAGAACTGCCTTATGGAACATCAGAAATCTTCTTGAGACTCGTCTTCTCCACGTCTCCTCGAAACAGAAGTGAGTTAAAGAGATGTAAGTTTGTTCGTTTTATAAGCGTACGTATAAAAGGAAAGTCATACAAATTCTGTTTTCCTTTTCAGCTTTCCCAAAGGGGACGGAAACGAAAAGTTAAAATAAACCTGTAAACTTCAGAAAAGGGGCTTCTGATACTTCCCCTGAATGTATACTCTGTACATCTTCAGTCGCTTTCGTCGGTTGACTATCAGTCTTCTGTCTGTTCTTATCTGTTTTTCTATGAGGCCTTGATCGGTAAACAATTTGGTTACTTCGTCTGCAGGGAAATGCACCTTTGTATCTGTAGGTTACCTTGTTCAAAAAAGTAAGCGCAAGTGCCGTCTCCACGAGTATAAAAATTTCGGCCGATACATCTCCCTTGCTTTACTCGAATCTGTGACAAATCATAGAGGCCGTAGTCCCTGAAAAATATGACTCCTCCCGGCCTTAGGCAGGCACAGAGATTCCTAATAGTTTGAGGGAAGCTAAAACCAAGATTAGAACGATGGAGTAGGTACCTGTCAGGATTAATTGCTGAGAGAACGAAAATGCAACAAATAGCGTCTATGCATTCTGGAGGAAAGGGCCAGGTCAGATTCGGTTTGGATATATCTTGCTGGAAGGCAAGACAATATTGAGAGTTGTAGGAGGGTGAGGATTTGACCAGCGACACTGCTTTTTCCGAGAAATCGCAAGCGTAGACAAATGTCTCATCTTCCCCCCGCCTAAGGCAAATATTTTGGCTAAGAGACGGGTGATTACCACCGATTTTCAAGAATTGGAACAACTGAGTTCCCGGGTCCACTGCCAACTTCAAGGACACGAAATCTGCTATCTTTTCCAGGAAATGAAGGAGGACCAGAGAGGAATGGACCGGAACAGAGTGACCCATCAATGAGCTCAACAAACTCACGAGGAAGCCACTTTCGATTTTTAAAGAATCTAGCCTCATGCTTATCATAAAACTTGTCCCAGTAGGTGGATGCATTAACAATGAAACCTTCTATTGGTAGGAATGACTTAAGTGACCATTTATACCTCTCTCCTCCTCCGATAAAGTTATTACGGATAAAATATCAACTGCAGTCCGAGCCTCCTGTTCCATTTCTTCCGTCCACTCATAGTCATCCCTAGAAGTGAAAATGGCATTCGCCAAAGATACCAAGCATTTTGATCAAAAACATCTTCTTCTTTCTCCAAACGACGATTACCGAACGATGACATCATTCATGCGCACGACCTTGAAGCCGAGAAGGGCGCAGAAACATTGTTACAGCCGTCATTTAGTTTTGTTTATCTTACTCCTACACAAAATTGGATTTAACAACTGCAGCACCGAAACCTGAGGAATATGTGACAATGTCTTTTAAACGTAGAAGGCCTTTGGTCATAACAGGCTTCGGATATCCTATATTTTGGTTCTTTTCCTATTCAGGTGAAAGCTTGCTATTCTTTTTCTTGTAACAATGCAGTATTAAGCCTAGGCACCTTTTTGGCATTGATGAAGGTCGAATTGGAGGCGGGTACAGTAAAGGTCTTAATGTTTTTATCACACGACACTATAAAAGCGACCTAATCAACATGTCCGTTGCCAAATCTTTGTAACCATCACTTTTAGTCGAAGTGGCCAATAATGCATCAGGTCTAAAATGTAATTAGTACGGCAAAAAAGTTTTACACACACCTCTACAACTTCTGCCGAAACTTAAGTTTGAATGTTTCGTTTTGTGTTTTAATTGTTGAAATGTATCACTTTTATCTTTTGGTTAAATTGCTCTGGCGCTCCACTTGGTTTGATCCCTTCTAAGCGAATTAAACATGTGTTTGAGATCTCCCCTTCTTTTCTTCTTTGTGTTTCCTTTTTTACTGCTTACGCGTGGTATACTAATTGGACTAGGAAAATATGACATTACTGGTCCCATAACCAACGTAGATTTCGTAAGTTTAACAGCTGAGACTTGAATTCAGATAAATCTTAAATAACTCCAGATAGTAGTGCTGTTTGGTATTGGACAATATTTTGATACCTACTCTTTTCTTAGCATATCGCTTGGTGCATTTAGCTAGCTTTATTCTTATTCTTGGTTTATTTGCATTTTTATAGATACAAGCGATTTGGTTTTTTAGATGGGATACGGGGACCCCTTTCAAACCGGACAAGGCCTTCACTTACGCCTTTATAGTCGTGCTTTTCTAATTATGTGCAATATTTCTAGTAGACCAATCCTCTTTATTAATCTGGACGCTGGAATGGCCTCACAATTGTTAAAGAGCCAGATAGTCCGCTTGCTACAACAGTCCTTTGGTGCAAATGTATTTGACCATCAGAACGTCATGATCTCAGCCACGCATACGCATTCCGGCCCGGGTGGTTTTTTCCAATATCTTCTCTTTGATGTTACCTCTCGAGGATTTTCCAATTCTACCTTTGAAGCTATGGCATCTGGCATCCTTCAGGTATCATGGATTGGGTAATGAATTTCGAAAATAATTCGTAAGGCCTTTTTGTTAGCGACATTATTTACCTCCTTTTATTTTTGCACATTAATGTTGTCTAGCTAGTAAGGAATAACTTTTTTGTCGTTTGCGAATCATTTTTGCATATGTTGTTTCTGATTAATGGAAACAGGATTTTATCTTGCTACGCATTTAAGTTCTGGTCGACGCAGTCTTACGCGCCTAATATTTTACTTACACTTATACTCTTTTTTAGGCAATGGTGACTTAATGAGTAATACCTCTGCAAACATAACTTGAGTTTCAGTTCTCGCGTGATAGTAGTTGCGCATTCACAGCTATCTTGAAATTACTAAAGAAGTACTTACCACATAATGTAGTCTTCATAGTTTCAGGTATTATTATCACGGACCTTCCCGAATCTTGTCTGCTGCATGGCATCGGCTCTGCACATGCCCAAAATGGTTGTTCTTTGTGCTTGAGTGCCTTGCTCATATATCATCCTTCATCAGTAGAGTCTACTTCCACTCCTGAATGATGTTGGTGCATCACTTGCGGGATGATTTACACGTTAAAGTGCCATGTTGGTTAATGTTTCACTTCATCTCCCCTTTACGCCGAACAGTACTTTGCTGTGTGAAGACTTATTCTATTAGCACTTTATTAGTGTATCATTTGCTTTCAAACAGCATGAGGTCCTTTCTGTTTCATCATTACCTCTAAGATCTTTTTGGTCCATGTCCTATGTCACTTCGTTCAAAGACAAGAGGTTTTCTGGGCTTTTTTCATAAGTGCATAGCCGTGGGGACATCATAAGTCATAGGAATGAGACGACTTGCCGCTTATCCTTCCTCTGGCAGTCCGTCTTAAGTTGATGGTTTTCAGGTTCCCTTTACCCGTATCACATTTTTAACAGCTATGCGCTGAAGAATTCTTTACAACAACTCTTAGGACTGGCGAACAAATATGGGTCTCTGAGATTTTGCCTTAGTTGGCGCTTGCTACCCCTTTTGAAGTGTCAAGCGATGTGATGGGTTGATTGATTAAAAACCCACTTTTACATTTTTTTATCCCAAATATTTAAAGTTAAGC